TGTAGGGTTATAAAAACCAATGATAGAGTGCTCAATGGATAACCAGAGCATAATAGAAAGACACAAAAACTTAGCAAGCTTTGTTTGGCATATTTATATATTTATATATATATATATATATATATATATATATATATATATATATATATTTATATATATAATTATAATTTTTACAAAATTATACAGTGTTGTCCGGATTGTAATTATTTGTTTTGGGCTTTCGACTCGGTACTACGAGTCTTCATCAGAAAGATTGATCATTTGAATTTTCGCGCTGTTGATGACGCTGTTGAAGTCTGTGGGACTTCGTGGATTTCAGTATGTTGGTTGCCATAGGTTACTATGGAATGCGGCTGATCATTGTTATCATGAGACGTTGTAGGGAAGGAAGTTGAGGGTGGGTTAATGGTTAATGAAGATGAATTAGGAGATTTGTGCGAGCGTTTCAGTTGTAAGTAAATTGTAGGAATGTCAATGTAACTGTTAAATGTTTGTTTGCCTAAACTTTGCCACGCTTCTTTAAACTCACGAGCATGTTTGGTAGTTGTTCGTCCTAGGCATGTCGTTTGAGACCAGTCAAATTTATGTCCGTTGTCGTCTGTGTGTTTAGCTGGAAGTGAGCTATGGTCGTGTCTGTTGATTACGTTCTGGTATTCTGTCAGTCTTGTCTCAATCTTTTTAGATGTTTGTCCAATGTACTTGCATGGATAATAAAATACATGGATAGGAAACTAGCTGACGTGACCTAATGTTTTAATGGGATGATGGCGTTGAAACCTAGTTGCAAACCAAATTCTCAAAAATGACATGTTTAGCAATAATACAGCTAAACATTTTAGCCAAAGAGCAAATAAATATAACTACGCCATTCTACGATGAAATCTCTTAGTATTCCCAGTCAATTTTAGCAAATATTTCAAGCACTAAACAGTGAAAAATGCATCGCAAATTTCGTTAAAATTGGCGACGCCAATTTCGTAGCTACGAATGTAAAAAAATACAAAACAAAGACGAAAAACATTTACCTTGAATACTTTGTCGTGGCTTAGGCATGTTTTTAAAACAATTAGACCAGTTTATGCTTTAATATTACTCTTTTAAAGCGGAATATATCGCGAAACAACAAAAATGCTGAGAACTTTGGCAATACGCGTGACGTCCCAGATTGCAATTAGGTTTAGACTGTAACGTCAGCAAGTTTCCTATCCAGTTATTTTACAATCCATGGTACCGTCTCGTGATAACAATGATCACCCGCATTCCATAATAACCAATGGCAACCAACATACTGAAATACATCAACCAATCTGACGTTCCCACGGACTTCAACAGCGTCAACAACAGCACGAGAATTCAAATGATCAATCTCTCTGACGAAGACTCGAAGTACCGAGTCAAAAGCTCGAAAGGAATAATTACAATCCTATTAAATACACACACACACACACACACACACACACACACGCACACACACATATATATATATATATTGGAAGGTGAAATTTAACTAATTTAAAAACAATAAACTGATTAGAAACTAAGTTCATTTACTCGATATATTAGCTGGTTATTTTGTACATTCCACCCCTTTGTTAGTAATTATTTAAATTTAGTCTGGCTTTGTAGTAATATATTCAACGGACGTGATCTAGTTGAAACATTCCCCTGAAGAAGCCTTAACCGGCGAAACGTTGGGTCAAATTTTAAAATTTTGATTGCCTGTGGAAGTCTTTTTTTTAATTTTTTTTCATTTTTTCCGATATTTCGCCGGCAAAACCAGTGGGTGAAAATATCAAGTCTTTTAACTGCGATTTAGATTCCTTCAACATTCAAATGTTGTTCTTCATTCTTCTATGATGTGTACTTGTTCTTGAAATACCAGATTTGACCGGATGGCTTGTTCTTTTGACTTGAAATGCCAGATATGTTCTCCATGTTTTTGGATATTTTTCGCAGTTTAAGTTATTTGGTCATCCAGAGCTTGTAAATTAATATGCGGCGATTTGAAAATGTCTGCCATACTTACCCTGATCATCGTTTTTCATACAACCCAACGATGATAGTATTTATACTTAAGTTGTACATAAATTGATATTTTTTTCCATATCTATTATTGTATTTTATACTGTTTTACAAGTTTTTTTGTTACAGTATGCCACCACGTAAGCAACAACGGAAACAAGCTGCAACAACTACAAGGGGTCGTCGGTCTTGGCATCATAGTTTTGGCGGCACCAGAGCGACACAGAATACTGTCCCAGTAGTTGAACTATCGCCATTTGCCACACCAGCAACAGCAAATCCTACAGCCCCGTCCTCAGGTAATATTCTGTCGCACGAGATCTTTCAGAGTCTGGTGAACACTGTGGCTGCTGAAGTGACCAGCAAAATGGCTACGATTTTTCCAGTTCCCAGTCAAGTGGCATCTCCAGAAGAAACTGCCATGACTGCATGCCTTGCCGGGTGAGCTACAGTTATTGCCTAATATTATTTATCCTAATACTGCGAGTTTTTTTGAATCTACTCAATTGTTTTACTCGGCCGGTTTGGCTATTGACTCGTGGGTTTCCACGAAACTCAAGGGTAAAGTATGGGAGGAAGAGTTTATCGATTTCGGTAGCTTGTTGAGCAATTTCGGCAATGACAAGTATCAAATTTTATTTTTGAGTTCTGAAGGTGGTCTACCTGCCTCTTTTTTTCGAACCTGCATCCAAATCTAAGAAAATCCAAACTTCAGGCTCTTCACATGTTTGTGGGCGTTTACATTCAAAGATACCCTATTGAGGCCCCCGTCTCAATGAAATGTTCGCAAATTGAATCAGAATTGGCGTTTTTACGACAAACTCAACGTACCATTGTTCCCTGGGGCTCGATTCACGGGGAACTGTGGTTGCGTTCACAGTATTCTATAACTAGAAAGTCGCCAGGGCCCCAAGTGGGTCAGAATAATTTTTCTCCTAATCCCCGCTCACCTACTGCTGTGCTTTGGGGTTATTGTTTTAAATTTCACTGAGGTCAAAGTTCTGTGCATCCAAATCAGTCTCGTGACTGAAGTAAAATCCCCTACTTAAAAAAATTCGACTTCAGTTATCTATAGTGGTCAGTTGATCGAGTCACTTAAAAATTGAATCGTGCCGGTAGCCCAGTTATACTTTTTATGCTGCGGAAAGCTTCAGCAAACTAATGTTAGCCAGTCAAGAACAGCGGTCTTACGCATGAACGTTGACGGATTCGGGGGTGAAATCGAGCTATCCGATGGCTATCACGCTCATTTCCATGGTTACGGCCATTTGCGACGGATCTGTGGGGAGACCTGACGGATTTACAGATTCAGGGGCTCTGTATGAGCTTTCTGAATGAACCATTTAAAAAAATTCTGCACTGCCATTGGCTTATATTTTCCACGGATTCGCAGCGTGAGGTATTCGTCAACACTGCATATGTTAGTGTTTATCTCTGAGTATTTACTATTTCGAACGTCTATCTGAGAAATTTTACTATTTTTACGAGCGATTTCTACCAGCAATATCTGGAAACAGTTTTGACAATGTTCAGTTTGCGATTGCGGCAAACGATTTGGAATCTCTACAACGTTTGTATACGGAGCTTGAAAAGAATATCGATACCTCACGGACGAATTTTGTTGACAAGCTACCTAGCGGCGCCGTCAACAACACAAGCAGAAGCCTCGCCATCAATTTTGGCGCAGAGAACAACTGCTAGAGAAAGATAAAGCTTGCACTGCAATAAGGTAGATAAATATAAAGAGAGATAAAGATTTTTATATAAAGATTTTTCATATCTGAAATCTATTACCTGAACGAATCTATTGTTTACAATTAATATTCAGATTTGACTTATCATGCAAACGTTTTTGAAGTCATTTAAAAAACTCGCAGGTCGCGTTTTATTAGGTTAATACCTAAACCTAATAAAACATTCCTGCTCGTTTTTTAAATAGTACTTAAACCGTAATACCAAGCCATCGGTGTTGTTACAGTGCGTCTACAGTAAGTGGGGCCACTTAGAGAACACTAACCAATCACATTGCAGAACAAAAACAACAACAACAAACGGCTCATTAGCCAATCAGCATTAGGCCAAAAACAATTTGAACAAATAAACGAATGTCAAACGGTAAAAATAGACTTGTAAAAGTAAACACTGCAGTTAAAGGCTTGCTGGATCTTTCTTTTGATTGGACGAGCTTTAGTTTGATTAGATTTTTCTTTTTGTTTGCAATTCGATTGGTTAGTGTTCTCTAAGTGGCCCACTTACTGTAGACGCACTGTAATGATTGTCTGACATATGATATTTTAATATACTGTATTTGCTCTGCTGTATTGCTATATTAGCATCATCCTCGCGTCAAGAAACTAAAATTAATATGTTAATATTCAATGTCCACATTGTGAGAATTTGTTGATTCTCATGTTAGTGAAGTTTTATTTAAAATTTATTTAATATATTTATGCATTAATCACCCAAGATGTACGCCTTAAGAGTATAGTTTATCCATAGCCTATCGACATGGCTTGTTATACCGCATTGATCTGGTGTAACATGTTGATGTGAAATATTTAATGAGGTAGCTTGAAGAGCTCATTGACTGGTAGCCATTCTGATGTTACTTATTAATAGTGTCTTTTGTGTCCAATATATAGACCACAGTAAGACTTTATTAATGGTAAGAGGTTATTAATATTTGGCTTAACATCTTTGGCTGTGTTTTTGGTAACAGAACAGTATATTTCCTTAATGCACTTGCTGCCATATGATTTTAGAAGTTTTACTATGATACACTTATATAGTACCAATATGACGACGATTCATTAATCCACAGGCAAACATGTTAAATTACTGCTGAGTTTTAAAGTATTATATAATTGAAACATATTTATAAAATGTTGTATTGAAATAGGATGAATATATCTTTGTTCATTTGTAGTTTTCTTACAGTTGATAAAAATCTAATGTTCGTTTGACTTTAACAATTTAATCTAAATATTGCTTTTCTGAAACTTTCACCTCTGTTCATATTAAATAATTTTGTGTTTTTAATTTAAATCAAGGATCACACAAGAGGTTTTTGATAATACTTTTATTTTAGCTACGTTTCGGATAGTTTACTATCCGTCCTCAGGCTAACAAATTGTTCTTACATTTGACGTGTACAACTTTTAAACGTTCATCTTACGCAAGCTAATTTAAATTAAACTGCTTGCGCGCACGCGCGCGCTCGTTTTCCTTAATAAAGTATTTGTTTAATATTGGTCTCCAAGTCATCAATGATTCAAAACTGTTTAAAACTTTCTTTTTGTTATGCCTTACCCTAAGAGACTCAATTCCTTCTATAACTTTCCGCTGTCTTAATCTATACTCATTTCTCAATATTCGCGTGTTCTCCCAGTCTATTTCTTCCGTACACTCTATACTGTGCCTTGCTAAACCTCCGTCTTCTTTCCCCATTCGTTCTTCTGCCACCGCCATTCGTCCATTTCTCATATCCTCGTTTGTTAATCTTACTTTGCTCTCGTGTTCCTTCTTTCTCACCTTAAACAACCTCGACGTTTCTCCTACATATACCGCTCTTTCTTGCACTTGCATGGGATCTCGTAAACAACAGATTTTTGTTTTTCGCCAAGTGGTTGTTGAGCTCTTGCCTTCAATTCCTTTATTTTATTTCCTGGTTTAAATGTCGTCCAAAATGAATGTTTGGAAGCTAATCTTTTCAGTTGTTCCGATAAGCCCTGGATGTAAGGTACAATTATCATTCCTCGATACTCTTGCTCTTCCGACTCATTCCTTTCGCGTTTATCCTCTCGCATGTATTCTCGAACCTTCTGTCTTTCGAAACCATTTGCCACAAACACATCTTCTACGTTCTTTAGTTCTCCCTCTAGGTGTTTCTCATCACATAACGCTCGCGCTCTGTCTGCAAATCCTTTGATGATGCCTTTTTTCATACAAGGAGGATTCGATTTCGCTTTCACATTGATGTTGGTGTGTGTCTTCTTATAATGAACCATACACTCGACTTGTTTCGTTTTCCGGTCCACTTTTTGTTTCACATCCAGTGCTGGCAACGTATCTTCTACTTGATTTTCTTTCGTGAATACAATGACGTCTGGTTTAACTCTTTATCGACAAGCAACATTTTGACAATTTTACAACTCAATTGTTTATAACGTAAATATCTCAGCGCGTATTCACCCCCCTTTAAAACAAAGAATACCATTGAAATCCTAATAAAATAACCTTTTCAACGGGGGGTTGAATGCCGTCAAAGCATTACACAAACCGAAACAATCATATATTTACTCACCGCTTGGCCAAAATTTCGGAATTTCGTTTCCACAATAGTGTAAATAACTTGTGAATTCTTCAGAGTTCGGCTCAAATCAATATGTGTGAAATATGTGCTGTATTCAAGCGCTTTTATATCCAGAATTTCACTTGAATACAGCCAGTAGAAATGTTTATTTTGAGTTTTTAAAAATATCGGGTTTTTCTTGGTTTTTCTCGCACACGCCTGCCACACGCTAAAATTGGCGAATAAGAAGTACTGGTAGCCCGATGCACGTGCAAATCATGCTGCAGATGTAATTTGACCTTTAGAATCGATTTCCGACGTTTCCCGAGCGCTAGGATGTAAACACGCGATGTTTTGGCGAATTTAAATCGCATTTCCGGTCAAAAAATATCCCGCTGAGTTCGCTAATATCGCAACAGATTGAAATATCGAAATAAAAGACGAAGAACTGAGGCTACAAGCCTCAAAATAACACTGTAAATAGTGTTTTTGATTGTGAATCGAACAAGACTACAACAAAAAATACATGTTTGAAGGGGCCGAAGTTGTGTCTGGCAAAAGGTATGGCTTTAGTGATAAATTGTTTACATTTTTCGAACAAATATGTAATTTGTTGAAATATGATACGTCTTGACCCTTCAAAGGTCATAAATCGCTATAATGTTTGTCTTTGACTAAAACTATCATTATGAATCAGGAAATATTATTTCGCTGAATTGAATGGTGGTATTTTCATCTACGTAGCATGTACTGAACCGAAGATATGAACCTGCAAAATACTATTGCAGTTCTGCAAAATCGCATTTCCGGTCAAAAAAAATCCTGTTGACTTCACTAACATCGCAACAGAATGAAATATCGAAATAAAAGACGAAAACCCGAGGCTACAAGCCTCAAAATAACACTGTAAATAGTGTTTTTGATTGTGAATCAAACAAGACTACAATGATAAACACATGTTCGAAGGGGCCAAAGTTGTGTCCAGCGAAAGGCATGGTTTTAGTGCTACATTGTTTACATTTTTAGAACAAATATGTAATTTGTTGAAATATGATACCTCTCGACCCTTCAAAGGTCATAAATCGCTATAATATTTGTGTTTGACTAAAACTATCACTAGGAATCAGGAGATATTATTTCGCTGAATCGAATGGTGGTATTTTCATCTACGTAGCATGTACTGAACCGAAGATATGAACCTCCAAAATACTATTGCACATCTGCAATAGTTTTCACAGGGCCGGTTGAAAAGGAGTTAATGCTATTCAGGTGTTCGAGTATTTCTTCGGATTGATCTTTCTTGCACTTCATTTCACTGTCGTCTACATACCAATACTATTGATCTAGGGGATATGGAGATGTTTGCATTGCACAAATTTGAAACTCTTCCATATAGATTATGGCGACCTCTCCAGTTACTCCAAGACCGATTATTGGTCCACTTTCTAATACGTAATACTTTCCGTCAAACTCACAATAAGACAAACCAAACATCCATTTCAATATTTCCATTACCGACTGTACGGTTAAGTCAGTTATATTTACTAGGGTTTTACTTTCTATAAAATTGTTGTTTACAATAAACTGGTTTTTTATTATAGGGAAAACGAAATATATTACATAAAGACGGGATAACATTATAGGTATTCTAAGAAATTTTCTTTCTTTTCATTGTACTCTACGTCAGTAAGGGCACCCATTTCTTTTAGGGCAAACAGTTGTCTGATCTGTTTCGGTCTCTCCGTACTTTTAGTGGTCTCCTACATAATAAGAAGTAGATACAGATGTAATTTATATAGTGTGTGCATAATTGTCAATATGGTTACAGTTTGAGAATGCATATATAATAATCTAATAATCACAATTATATACTCATTGGGCTAGCTCATTATATGCTTATTATATTGTTTGAGTATAATGCATGATTGTACGAATATGTAATTTCTTAATTTGCAATGAAAATACCACAACATACATGCATTAATAATTTAGTCTAGAAATTTTGAACACGTTCTTAAAACTGCAAGTGATTACCATCCAAGTATGTTTCCAATTTTACCGTACAATGCTGTCATACTCACCGATTCAGCAGGTTCTGAAGCTCATTGCCTGCATTGTTCGCTGTCACTGTGTGAATCTGTCACTGAAGAAGCTGCTTACCTAGGACGTTTTGCCAGGGTGCGAAACATTGGTGCATCGGGAAGTGTGTCCACAGTAGCAGATCCAAGCCTCTGCAAAATTAATACTATATACTGCATTCCAAACATTTTGTAATGCTAACAATTTTACCATTGTTTGCTGAAGTATAACGTTTCATAGTAATAAGTTTAAAAGATTAGACGTCCCACCATTTCGGCCCACAATCGAAATTTGTAAGGTTGATGCGAGTGTTCCCCATGTTTCTGCTTTAGGGTCTCCACCGTACTGCTAATTACATCTTCAGCATGCTCAGGCTTGCTACTCGTACTGCTTTGTGTTTCTAAACAAATCAAAGTCAATGTAATAATTCTCGACAATATTTGTTCACTTGAGTTTTATGTCTCTTATAGAGAAAAGTAAATAAAATATATACCCATGTGTTACATTTACTTAATGGTTGGCTGACTGGAAAATGTCAATCCAGATTGCCCTATCACATTGTCATAGCCTTGTTTCAGCTCGAGAACAGTGCTAATAGAGTACTTCTTATTTTGTCGCCAACATATCCAAATTGAAAACATGGTAACGATTCTGTGGCGAATTTTAATTACTGTCAACTGCTTTTACAAAAATACCTGTATGATAATAAAACTTGAAATTTGGCAGTGGGTTAAAATGATTGATCAATTTTTATAGTTTAAATGAGCTCCCACACTTAAATATATCATTAGATTTTTGGGTGAGAATTCTTGGTTTGTGCAAATTTAAGGCCCTGACATTTTGTTTCTTCATGACACCCAACATCTGAAGGGTAATAATTCCATAACCCAACATAAATGGCCAAATATTTTTTGACTCCTGGATTGGTAAACATTTATATTCAAATTAGTTTTCATCTTGTAGGGTATAAATACAAAATAATCAAACACTATAAAAATTTGCTTGGGCATAGCTCAGGACATGTACTTTACAATGGAGAACTGGAGAACCAGTGTTTCCACAATGGAATTACAAAATTTCTTGTTCTCTGCGTAAAATTTCCTGAAATTTCCTGCAAATAACCTGTTTTTTTCCTGGAAAATTCGTAATAAAATTCCTAAAAAAACTATTTAAAATATATTATTGTGTACAAAAAAGTAACAAAACACCTCTGCAGCTCTTCTACATTCTACGCTATTTAGCATATTTTACACTTTACCAGCTTGATAGCTGGCATAACCGGCATAACCGCATAACCATACTACCATAGTCCATGCTATAAATTATTAAAGTAGTAAAAAGAACAAATATGGTATAGATGTCCAATTATATTATTATAACAGCTAGTCTGTTTTCAGTTTTTTTATAAACTCTTTTCGCAGTGTAGTGACATCATCATCATCAGCATTTGCTTTCATGACATGGTGAAGACTTAGCATTTCCTTAGTGCAATCAAGTTTAACAGTTTTACAACTGTTACTCTCTGATGAGCTTGATTTCAGGATTGTCATCTTTGTGGTTAACAGAGCTAGTAAACTTTCATGCTTAAGGTTAGCTCTGTGATCAGTTTTAATCAACTTAAGTTGACTAAATACTCGCTCGACTGCTGCATTAGAATATGGCAAAGACAGGAGCAATTTCACAACCTTTACCAAATTTGGCTTTGCCTGCTCACCCAAACAGTTTTTCTCCTTGAATATCTCATGCCAGTATTCTTCCGCACTGAGTTGCTCATTCAAGTCTGGGTTCAGTGAATGACTTCTCCATTCTTCATCAATGCTTTGTAAATCAGCAACATCTGCGAGGATTGGCATTTTCTTGTACAAACCACTCAGTGAAGGAATCTTCAGATTATAAGCAACATTTGGGGAAAGGCATGAAAGCGCATCTAGGTTTTTGCAGTCACTAAACCGACTTTGAATCTGTTTCACTGCTTCAACCAAAAAATCTCTGCAATGAGAGTAAACAACAGAAATACCAGCATCTTCATTTCCAAGTTCAGCTCTAATGGTAAAGAAAGTGTCAGTTGCTGCAATACCGAGGTACACTTGATTTAGCGGAACCTGCTTATCACTTCTGGAGGGATCAATATTGAAAGCATCAGTGCTCCTCACAAAGGCTACCTCCATAAAGTCAAAACAGAGTGCCTTTATTAGCTTCTCGACTTCCCCTTTAAGCTTATACAGTAGTGGCATTTCGCTTTGGAAAAGAACATTAAAAGACACCAACCTGCCCAAATTGTAGTCCAAGAACTCCAAGTAGGCTTCAGTGAATTTGTTGTTCAATCTCTCCAGTATTAAATCATTTGTGTGGGTAGGGTCTTCAAATACAACATTGGTGAAGTACAACTTTAATGCAGCATACTGTTCCAGGATTCGTTTCACACATAACTTCATAGACAACCATCTAGTCTGAACTAGATTTGTAAAAGAAATACAGTAAAATAAGTGAACGAGACAATGAAAAATACCAAAACATGTTCAAACATAATATATTAGATATTAATATACCTGGCTTTAAAATTCTCAGTTCTTCCAGCTTGAAAAACCCCTGAAACTCCTTAAATGCCACAGTTCTCTTGCTGGACAGGCTAAAATGCGAGTATATATTCCTGCAAAGATCTTCAAGAGACTTCGGAAGCTTCGTGGAGGCGTATGAGCTGCACAGATGGATTAAATGGGATGAGCACTTTACCGCTACAATCCAGGGATAATCACGCACCAGCATTTGGGCCACTGAGTGATTTACCCCGAACATGACATTGCAGGTATCAGCGCAGAAGCCTATGACATTTCTCATGGGGATGTCTTTGTCCTTCAAACTCTTGATGAGACTTTCATAAATAGTAGCTGCCGCACCATTTGGTAATGGTATCAAGTCAATCATTACTGTTTCAAGTCTAAAATTATGTTCATCAAAGAAGATTCCCAGTATTGCAAGCTGCGATGTGGTGGACCGGTCAGTTGTTTCGTCTATAATCAACGAAAACTTGTTGGCTCTTAGCTTTGACACGCAAAGTTCAATAGAATGAAATCCCAGTACTTGGCGTATAATGTTAGTAGCCTTTTGCTTTCCCAGGGTTACTTGGTGCAGAGTTTCGTCGGACGGAAAAAGGTCCCTGAGGACAGGCAATAGGTCATCCACTATGCTCAGAGGAAGGGTTTTTTCAACGATGAAATGGCAAAGTTTTATTTCCATTCGTGCTGCCCGTTCCTTGGATCCCAACAACAAGCTTAGTGGACGCGTGACTTGTCGTTTTATTTGGCTTATCTCGTTATGCTTCTTGTTCTCCACGTGTCGTCTCAGAGCAGTTTTTGCACAGGATAGTTTGCAATCACAAAGTTTACAGTAGGGAAATCCAGCTCGCTTTTCTAGCCAGTCCTTAAACTGATTCTCAGAGAGCCAAGAATTTTGAAACCGTTGGGCAGGTTTCGGCAGTTTCGCCTTCTTTAGAGACACAGTTTTTCTACTTTTCGTTGGTTCATCAGTCGAAGTCGCTCCTTTTGTACTTGGGTTACTTTCATCATGGTTTGAATCATAGGAATCACTTGAATTTTCGTTGTCCTCTTCAGCTGTTGCTGTGTTTACACGCTTCATTAGTTTATTTCATAATTCATATATGCTAATACAACATTCATTTTAAAAAGGATAAATCCAATAATCCATATAAAAACAACTCAGTGAACCAAATAATATAAATATTGAGCTGCGAGGCCTCGTGTTTTTGTGTTGCCTGATCGAAGAGCCCAATTTTAGGGCATGCATATGCCATATATGGGCATGACAACAAACAGGACTTGATTTGAGCTAATTAACCTAATTTGCCATAAATGCAATTATGCAAACCACTGATACAAAAATACAAAATAGTAAAGTCTAGTACTTAACAACATATTTTGAAGAATTTCCTTAAATTTCCCGAATCTAAGGAATCTTGGCAGATTTCCTGAATTTTCCTTCATCCTGAATTTTTCCTTTTCGATAGTAAAATTTCCTGCAAACAGGAAATTTCCTGCAATGTGGAAACACTGTGGAGAACTTGAACTTGTTGTTCAAGTCCAAAAACTCTGTAACCCAAAAATGCAGTGTTTGTACATCGTTGAAGTTTTTAAATACCTCCAATATGTTTGAAAAACATGAAATACAAAAATTACTAATTAAAAATAAACAAAGGATGAAAAAGGTGAGAAATTTTTAAAATATCTGAGGTGTTTTTAATTCACATTTTGACAGCCGAGATTTTCAAACGCAGATTGCGGTGACAAAACAAGAGGCTTTTTATTTCGCTATTCAGAGCACTGAAAGTCATCAAAAAGAGACAAACATTTTGAATATTCATCAGGTAAGAATTTTAACTGAAATTCCTTTTGTTTCTGTTGAGAAAACAACGGATTTGTGGCCAAAAAGGTGTGCGTGCCAATGTAGGGTGCAGTAAAATGTCAGACAGGCAGTTTCTTTTGCAATCTGACTCTAAAAAACAATTTCTTTTTTTAGTTTGAAATAAGTCCTTTACAAGGACCAATTGTATAAAAATATAATATGTATGCTCAAATAAAATGAATAATCTAATATTTAGGCATGTTAAGGTATTTCATCCTTGGTTGTTTGTCAGACAAGAGTAAACACATTGGTGACACCTTGTTGGGCATGCAGTTTTCAAAAGATAAACTCCTAAAAATTTAGCTTTTATTTCACAAAATAACAAAGTGTCTTGCAGATATTATTAAAAGAGCTCAAGTGAAGTAATTCCATGATAAATAAGTGAACAATGAGACAAAAAAACCCCGACTAAATTACAATTTTGAAAATACATTAATTTAATGGCTTCCTGCAAAACAACCATTTTAGAGAAGAACAGCATTTTATAAACCACTGTCCTGATCTAGTTTAGAACTTTTCCTTCAGGACCTTCAGGTAATCGACGAGTACTTCTTAGAAAATGAGTTTGCATTAACTTTATGATATAAGATTTAAAAATTTTATGGGGATATATGAAGCAATAAAGAGTATTTTGGACGCTTTTCAAATCCCTGTCATGAAGTTTTAGAATTTGCATCTTCCAAGTAACAGCATTAAGCCTGGTTCACATATATGCCTGCGACGATGCCGGTGGTAGCTTAAAATGTGAATTATGTGAATATTTGTTCGCCGATTGCCTCCAGTGCCTCAGTTACATCGGCGGTAGGCCGGGAAAGTTGACTTGAGTTAAACTTTCCCAGTATTTCGGCGGCAAGTTGAGGCATAATGATACAGTCGCAGGCATATGTGAACCAGGGTTAATTCAATACACTGATTTAAGGTGGTGGCTCCCTAGGGTTTTTTAATTTACTACACTATAGTATTCAGGAGACTCCTGTTTCTTTACTTTACATGACATGAAAACGAAATTTATTGGACACATTGACAATGTCCTCCTGAACATTGCAAATCGCTACTTTTGTGTTAAAAATATGTTGTCATGGCAACAGCATGCTTAGAATAAAGCTCAAAATTTGTCTTTTTCAGGTCATTTTAAAAATTCTCTTCGGTGAAATTTTTTAAAACTTTGTATAAAAGATAATACTTGTATAATGATTTTTTCCCCTTAATTTAAAAAAATTAAATCGATATGTTTCTTAGAAAATTTAAAAAACGTCAAAAATCAATATTAAAAACGTTCCCTTCGATTTAATTTTAAGAAAAAAGGATATTGCACTTGTGCCGATATTAAAAAATGTGCAGTTTTAAAAAATTTTACCGAAGGAAAACAGAGAAATTTGGGTTTAATTTTGGCAATTTTTACGGATTTTTCCGCGAACAATTTAATACCCCAACTGACGTGTACATGCATTCTGCATAAAACAACAAGGCATGACAGT